GACGTACCTGAATCGGATTTGGACAGATTCGACGCGTTGCTTTTTGCGTTCTGTCGCCGTTGTATATTCGTGATAAAGCCGGCCGATCGACGGGGATTCCGCTGCACGGCCGCGTCTTCGTGAACGCCGGTGAACGGCGGAAACGATCGCTGCGGGCTCGTCGAACCGCCGAAAATATTCGGCACGGGGGAAATCGCGCGAGAAACGGCCGGTGTCGTTCCGTCGCCGGAGATTCCGTTCCGCGGCGCGATCCTGTCGCGGCTTCGTTACACCGAAGGTCTGTTAACACTAACCGTACCGTGTAAAACGACTGCATTTCAAATTCCGCGTTTCCTTTCGTTCAGTTAACCTGTTGCCCTAGTAGCATTGAACAAATATAAATATTATTTAATTCGTTTGAATACGAATTACATATTATTATTCTGTTATCAACGATTATACCTTAGAGCACACGTTGAGATGAGACTGGAATTTTCTCTTATTTCCAGCGAATTATTAAGAACGGAAGAAAGTAGTTAGATCGATCACAGTTTACAAAGAAATCATAGGGCAAGGGGTTAACACTAGAACTGCTGAGTAATTCAATTAGATTTCCTAATTTTTCTATAGAAACTCGAACATTATGAGATTTCAATCGATTTATAATTTAGTTTGCGTATTTTTAAGTTAATTTCATTATTCATTTGCCATAGAAGCATCTGATCCTTTTTAATTATTATGGAATAAGAGTGTAGGAATGGGTCATTTTGATCTGTTTGGTAGTTCTAGTGTTAATTTTATATCAATTACTGTATTGTCCGATTAATTGGTTTTTCAACTTTCATCCTTCCTTTTGTTTCTGTTTCTATCAAGAAAAATTTATCATTTAGTTCGTTTGTCTCTATTTTGTAGCCAGTTATTCGACTAGTTGCGGTAGGAAAAGTGCTGGTATGGTTAGTATTAACAATTTCCTTGGTTTTTCCTTTCTTAGTTTGTGAAGCTTGAAGTGTTTTATTGTGACAGCGATGATTGTTACGGAATAACAGGTTTTACGATGTAACGCGTGCACATGGGAAAGGCGATGATTGACGTGCACAAATGCGAATGATTGTTAACCTCTTGGTTTATGATTTGGAAATTTAACGAAGGCAATTGGGATTGATTGTTGAAAGGAATTTATTGATGGTAGTATATTCATGGTATAGACTATGAATTCGCAAGGAAATTGAAATGTTTAAGATCATTTTGAAGAAATTATGGGAGATTTTTAATTTGGTAAATATTAGAGCTTGGGTGTTCTGTGTAGTTTATCTTGTAGAGCATTGTGTGGAATTTTGGATTTTTTAATTTTTTGTAGATACATGGAAATCCGTGATGTATTGATGATTTATTAGAAAGAGAAGAAATTTCATGCTGAAAGGTTGTTGATCGATGATAGAAGAAAAATATTCAGTTTTGAAGCAAACTAATGTAACGACGTTTACATTCGATAATTGTTTCCTAAATTTTTCTTCGTGAGTGTGATAACGAGATTGTAAAGCAAGGGGTTGACACGTTGGGTATCGAGAATTTGTTTTGGTGCTGCTGTTTCGGCCGTGAATTAATGGTAAATTACGGTTAATTATTTATTCGCCGATAATTAACAAGTGAAGGTAATATTAGTCGGTAATTATTTATATTCCTTGTATAATTTGAAACAGTTTGCGAATTGTTTGAACTGCTCGAAACCGACACGCATAGTCGGCGTTCGCGGCGAACGTGTTAATCCTGCTGCATTTTCGGGTCTTTTTCGACCCAACTATATTTTCATTTTCTAATCTTACCGAATTTTCATAAGTTTCTGTTTTGCTAACTATACTATACTTTTAAGATAAAGAGGTGCGAAAGGAAATAGTTCATAGTATACGTGCTTCCACTTTTTTAATAATATTTCGAACTGTACAGATAAATTCAGGACCGCAGCAGGGTCGAATTGACACGTTCGCCGTTTTCAGTGAGACGCGTTTTTCGCGGGCCAGATACGCTTGTCAACTGCGTTTGACACTAGAACTACTGATGTGAGTATTTAACACATTGACCATTTTGTCGGCCAAATATAGGTCATTCGACTTTTTCACCGGACTCAGAAATTAATATCGAAAGCAACTGATTTCAAGAATCAAATTCCATTTCTATCTACATCATACGACAGAATTAAAGAAACAATCAATCGAACAAACGTTAACCTTTCATTTCATTCATTAAACAAAATACTACTATTTTCTAGTATTCCCATGAATATTATCGAACTCATTCAATTATCAAACCATTATAATCATTCATACATATTTCATCTGAAAAGTACAAGTAGATTTTAAGTTCCTGCTGATGTTTATCGCGTTATACCAGCGAAACCACTCATTTCGAAAACAATATTGGATACTCATCACGTTCGCGATGCCAGTAATCGGGAAATAAGAAAATCGGTTATTCCGGCGTGTAGTTCTAGCGTAAACGCGGCCGAAAGTTCGTATTAGGAAAGCCTCGATCCGGTTGTTCCGTTTAGGATACCGTCCGGGCGGTGAATCACGCGCGGCGCTCGCCTGCCGCGCGCCCGTTTCCGTTTTAGAATCACGGTTTCGCGAGCTCGGTTCCGTTAATTTCTGTTTTTTTCGATTTCGCCGGTGTGCCCCGATCTATTTTCCGTCGAGGAACGCGCCGAGGAGGGAAGCGGAGAACGACGATGTCGTGTGTTATGTATCATATATGTACATGTATATTATGTATTTGACAGGCGATGTGTGCTAGCATTAGTTTACGAATTACGGTTAAGGATCGCAACGACTGAACATAATACTCTACATGATTTTCTAATTGTAACAAGTATTTTTGAAACTGTCATCGTTTCTACGTAGCTGAGCGCGCGAACGTTTCTTATAGTGGACGATGTGTTTCGTTCGGAGTTAGCCAAAAAAGAGAAAATACGAGGGAGGACGAGAAAAAGGAGAATAAACCGAAGAGCAAGAGGAGCGGAAAAGAATTCGGTGAGAACGGGATGAGAGTGGTGTAAGTGAATATTTTGCGAATGCATATGATGTGTCTTCGAATCGAACGGAACCGCGAGGTAGAACGAGAAAATGCCGAGAAAAACAATTCGATAAGTGTAAGGTGTCAAAGGTATCTCGCATGTCCGCAGCCATAGTTTCTCGATTCTTTGTGTGAGACGGAACGCTAGTCGAACTTTTTGCCAATTTTTTGGGTATCGATGCTCATTATGTTCCTCAGCTTGTCACGATACGAAAGGATATTTATGATAATAATAACGATATGACCACAAACATTGGTTTCTTCGTGTACATCAGCCAGTTTTGTCATTTCTTCATACCCTGTCTGAAGCGTCCGGTTTGTTTCGTTTGTGTTTTGCGATTAGGTTGGTGGAATCAATTATCAATTGCGGAACAGTTGGAAAAGAATAATTGTTAAAAAAGGAAAGTTTACAGAAGATGTAATAAATTACACTACGAGAGATTTATTTTTTTGACGAAACAGTTGTAAACCGAGAAATGTCACGCGAAATGGTAGTTTCGTTTGCACCAACCTAATAGGATTGAAACTTCAATCATAGTTAATTATATGTTAATAATAACATTTTCGTTATTCTTAAAACTTGGTTCTGAGAATATTCAGAAGTATCATAAACTATTCTAAGCATACTAATATTTCTATTTCCTTTTTATACGCAGGTTATGTTGTAACCGATGGTACAGCCGGAATGAAAGTGACTTTTTAATATCCGTCAAAAATATGAAATAAAATTTATTCATACGAGGCCTTCCATTCAAGGAAATCAAGATCGAAAATGCGCGCGGTGCGCGAGTATTCTGCTGACTCGGCTGGTAAAATTAACGGGAGGATATTCGACATGGAAAAGTAAGTCAAAAATGTAGAATGAAATTTTTTCGTGTGAAACCCCGTTTTCGGGAAAATCCAGTTTGAAAATTTCCCTGGCAT